GAAATATATCTTTTGTGACACCAGTCCTGGAACTTTTCAGACACAACTCGTATATGGATGTCACAGCCTACTTTTATTTTTAATCGAATACACTCGCACTGTGAAGTACAAGAGGTGTGACACAACAGAGTGCTGTACAAACAAACAGTGACATGTTATGATTGAATTCTTGGTAGAATATACACAATTCATGAGTCCCGCTCCAGACATGGTTTGTATATTCCAGCCGTGTGCCTCACAGCTCCTCCGGCAAACCTCCTCAATCCTCCAGATGCATTTTTGTAAACTCGGAGACGGTGCACCGAGACCGACTGTCCATCCTTNAACCGGCGACCTTCTTGCTGCGAGGCAAGGGTGCTAACCACCGAGCCACCTTGCAGCAATTTTACATACAGTACCATGGAAATGTGGCAGATTTGAAATGAGAAAAAGCTGCATTCAGACTTAGATCAACTTTAATGATCCACAAGGGAAATTGTTTTATCACAACAAGCACACAAAAAGATTAATTAGATAAGAATGTTTAAAAAAAAATAAAAATTTAAAAAGCAAGCAGGATGGAAAAAAGAATACAATACAAAGATTTCTATATGCACAATTCATTTTTTCTTTTTTCCCATGTAATGAATGACAATCAAACAATAGAAATAAACACTACATACATGCCCATACACAATATAAACATTAGTGCAAAATATGAGTTGAAGACTTTATCACTGTATTCAGGTTTATGATCAACTCTCAGAAGTTTCAGAAGAGAATCCTGCAGCCTTATGCATTTATTTAATCATATATTGTGGGTAATTCAATTGTTTTTACACATCAATATCCTCAATTAGACATTTAAAAAAATAAATAAAAATGTGCATGATCTCAAAATTAAGGCAAGAAAATGTATTCTGAATGTCGAAAATTATAATCAGTCTGTTAGTTTCCAGCTGCTGGGATATTACAGGGTTTTTTTTTTCCACTTTTAAAACTGCGTCATTTGAGTCTGAATCAAAGCGCTCTGCTGCTGCGAGCTCGCTAAAAACAGGCCAGCAGTTTCTCCTAATGAGCTGTTTTCAATCTTCACATTTGACGAGGTGAGACATTTAAAAAAATAAAAACAAAAACAGAGATGGTGAGGCACAATGGAGCCTGGATCATTTCATCACTCCGTGTCTTGTTTTCCGTCTCCGCCTGCCGTTTGCTCGTCGATAATAACGACTGATTTTTCCTTCAGCATTACCATTATCGACCCACGTGCATGTTTTGGTTTTTCTTTTCCTCGCTGTAACAGTTCACCTTCATCGACTTCCTCGCTGCTATCGTGTTCATAGCAGTCGATCGTGATGGGAAAGTGAGTCCTGTCTGAGCACTGATCAGCAGCTTTCTGTCGTCTGTTTGTTCATTTCAAAGCAGGAAAAGAGAATGATGACCATATTTCCCCTTAGTG